CTTTTAACCTTTCTTACTCTTTACCGTCACTTTAAAAATGTAACACTCTTAACCCGTATACATCCGTAAATACGAGTTAAAAAATGTCACACAATTCACTTTTGACCTTTCTTACTCAAAACCCCGTAAAATTTTGTTCCATTTTAAAATCTCAATTTAACAATTAAAATCAATTTAACTAATCATGTAAAATCATATAATAATATTTTTTAATCCAAATTTAATCTGATTTCAGGCAACAACTAGGCAGTTTGAAGTTGTTTCATAACATTTATAAAATTGTCTAAACATACCCTAATTTAAAGATCATTCAGCTAACTTTTAAAGCATAATATCATATATTCTATTCATGTAAACTACATAATTAAAATCAATTTATCAAAAAAAAATAAAGCAATTATAATTTACTATTATAAACCATTTTAACTAGTTTATCAGAGCAACCAAACAGTTATATTATGCATGCCACTAAAAAGTCAAAACAACGTCATAGATTCCATATTGATACTGTAGGTCGGTACTATTTCCAAAAAGATGCTCACTCCTCACTTCACGTCTTTATCCTTATCTGTATCTACGCGTGAAAATCACACACTAAGTATAACTTAGTGAGGCATTATAACAAATTAAGGTGAGATAAAATATAATAATATCATAACAATTCAAAACGGTAAAATTTAACTCAAATAAACAATTGAATTTTCAAAACGACTTAATTAAGTTGTTTTCCTACATATGTAAACATGAAAAAACAATATTTCATGATTTTTATAAAATCACGACAATCAATATCAATTCACAATAATCAATCATTATTTTTTCCATTCGACCACATTTCAATACTTTCACATTTCAATTTCATATACCAATATATATTTTTAGAGAATGCAAGGTATGTGAGTCAGACGACTGTGAATAATATGCACTCCAGGTGCCGTCATCAATAGACAGTAATATGCACTCATAAGTTCCTCATATAACTTGCACTAACAGTGCCACAATAATGTTCATGAATGTACTATATCAGTATCAGTAAATAGCGATCACTCCACCTCATGGCATGCCCCAATTGTACCTACGATTCTCAATGCAATATACAATGGGCTTTCCAATATACATAATCGATACTTAATCGATATAAAAATCAAGTCACTAATCCATAATAACTTAAACCTTTCCAAAAATAACTATTTAATTCCATAAATATTCATTTACATCATCAACCCTTCAACATTCATAAACTCTACATTTAAATAACATTGTATGAATTCGTTTAGAATTCACACTAACTTTTCCAAATAAATTCATAATGGTCCTTTACCATTTTACTTGTTTCAAACCCAACAATAAAATTTCCGGCATTGTAATAACACATTCAATCTAGTATCTTCATATTTAAAAACTTGTAATTAAGTCCCCAATTTCCAAGCCTATTCAAATTCAACTATTAAACTTTACCAAATTTGCATTTTGGTCCCAAATCAACAGTCTAACTTAAAATTGAGCATCCAATTATTACGTTTCAACATTGAATACTCATAATTGAACAATTACACATCAATGTCTCATAATTCCCAAAACTTGTAAAATGATCCTTTTACTATCTCAAGGTTCCACATTGATCCAATTCAATTTCCAAAACACTTAGAATCAATCTTATATCAATTATAAACCATAGGGAATTTTTGAACATTTTCCCCTAATAATTTCTCCATGGACGAACCTAATGAAGCAATTAGGGCATACTTTTCATTCAATTTCAAGCATGAATTCAAGCTCCTATAATTAAATTCATGTTATTCCAATCATCATAACATCAAATTCAATCCAAAATCAATTAATCCTTCACAAACCTTAGCTTGTTCGAATTTAATATATGTTTCTCTAGATGATTTTAATCATCATTCATACTTGAAAATTAATCTACAACACCAATAACATAAAAATCATCCATTAACTCTTCAAAATCCAACATGTTCTTCATCCACCCAATTCATGAAATTCATCATCCAAGCACAATTTCCAAGAAATTTTTATACCAAATGATAGAGAATTTCAATGAGATTAATTCTCTAACTAATAGCTTAATATAAATATCAACTACGGAAGCTTAAATATCAAATTAAAAATCCCCCTTACCTAGCTATGGAGGTCACGACTGGTTGAAGAAGAAAAAGCTAAAATTTTCTTTATTCTTTTCAATTATGACTTAATACTTGCCATTGAGATATATTCCATTTTAATATTCCAAATTCAAAGATGAACCAATTAAAATTGACTTTCCACATTTGTTCATGCAATTTTTGAAAATTGCAATTTAGTCACTAAATTTCCCAATTTCGGCTTACTATGGAAAATCAACTTTAATTCTACTTATCCATGTTAAATTTCATTGTTATAAATTATGGAAATAATATTCCCAATCTTTTTCTACCAACCTTCAATTTTTTGTGAAATTTCGGTTCGATCCGATTTCTTATCGTACTTTACTACTTTATAGTTTTTAATACAAATCCTGAATCAAAATTTTGATTGTTGTGGAAACATTCATTATAGAATGTGTTATTGGTACTATGATATTCCTGATTTAAGTCTGTTTGTATTATCATACGTTATTATATGATGTTCTCCATTTTTTATATATGTGATATTTCTAAATATTGATATGTTTTGATTTGATTTTGAAAAATGCCTCATTAAGTTTATACTTAGCATGTGATAGTTTTCACGTGTAGGTAAAGGATATCAAAAGGAGTATAGAGATATTTTGACATCAGTAATGACATATTGATGTTTTTGATTTTATAGTTGGCATGTATATGTATTTATGTGTTAATGGGGTTTGATATGACTATGTTATGGATTTGGGTTTGTAATAGTTTATATATGTTAGATTTTAAAAAATTGTACTTAGTTATATTATTTTAAAGTAATGGTTTGTCTGTTATTAACTTAGTGAACTAATTTAATTTGCTATCGAGATGAATTATTGTTTAAGCAGTCATTAGGCATTTTTACTTATCATATGATATAGAATTGAAATGTCATATTTGCTACATGAAAATGGGTTTGATTTGAATGTTAGAATGTTATATTTTGATTTTACACAATTAAATAATTTGTGCTATATTGTTTTTAAAATGAATGAATTTTAAAAGAACAAAATTTTACTGTTTTTTGGTATAAAAAATGTTTTATAAAGTTAATGTGACATCTCTGGCTCGTGTTCGATGACAGATATGAGAAAGGGTGTTACAAGGTATTTTGGGAGAAAAATATTGACAAGAGTAATAAGGAGTCAAGGAATTGACAATAAGAAAGAATCTGCAAAAAGTGTAATAAAACCAAATTGAATAAAATGTAAAGTTGAGGGACTAAATTATAAAAAGAGTAAAGTTATTGTTAAAAATTGAATTTGACGTTACATAGATATTCTATAATATTAGAGGAGCATGTGATTTAAATTTGATCAAGAATAGACTTAAAATGACAGAGAAATTAAGGGTAAGATGAATTAGAGATAAGTACGAGTTAGTCGAGTTTGGGATGATCACAAGATATTATATGTTCATGATATTTCTTAACTGTTGACAATACATACACACCCTACAAACACAACTACTCGAATCTAGAACATCAAGGGAAAACAACAATCTCTTTTACTACTTAGGCCATTCAATGGGTTCATAATCGAATTGATTTTTAATAGTCTATGATGATTACAAGGTAATACATGTTTGGAATTTTTTAATCATTGACAATGCGTACACGCCCACAAACACATCAGCATGACCTCAAAACTTTTAAAGAGAACGATACTCCCTTTAACTAATAAGGCTACTTGATGAGTTCATAACCGAATTAATATTTTTGAATAAATTATTGTTCACACCTCCGTATAAGGTTTCAAATGTAAAGGCTTAATATCAAAACTATACCGCTTTTCCTGAATAGGTGCCTAAACTATTTTTGAGCCATCCAGGTGCATACCGTTACAAACATTACCCATTTAGGTGCCCAGGTTTTCAACGGCGTTAATTTCCTCCATTATGTGACACGTGCCACAATCTGGTGATTTTGAAATTTATTTTTTTAAAATATTATTACATTTAAAAAACCTAATTTCTCTTAAATTATAAAAAACCCCAAAATAACTAGAATCCCCAAACCTTATCCATAACCTATCGCTACCACCCTCTTCGGCCACGACCACCACCATTGACGTAGTCCATGCCATCCTCCTAGTCATATGTAGTCGTAGTTGTCGTCGATTGGCCGTCGAGATCGCGTGCGTTCACGATTTTCATCATATGGTTCGCGGGTTATAAAACGTCGATTCACCTTCGATTGATCACGATTTCATGGGGGTTTTGGACATCAGTGGGGGATGAGGTTGAGTGGAGCTTCGTCAACGATAAAGGACAATGATTGGAGTGGGTTTGGGGTTGAAATTAAGGTTTTTAAAGTTTTGGGTTATTTCAAAAAGTTTATATTTTTTTTAAACATATATATAATTTTTTTTTAAAAAAATTTAATAAAATTTTTAAAAGCGCCAAATTGTGACACGTGTCACTTAACAAATAAATTAATGTCGTTGACTGCCTGAGCACCTAAATAGATAACGTTTTTAATGTTAAGCACCTAGATGAGTCAAAAAATAATTTAGATACCTATTCAAGAAAGACGGTATAATTTGGGCACTTATTTTTGTATTAAGCCAAATGTAAATAACATCCTATAATATTTTTTATATTATTTAAGATATAATATAATATCATAACGTTATTTCATTGGTTTCTTAAAAAGCCATGGCATAATGTTAAAAAAACATTGTAATAGAACTTATTTCAAATAATAATAATAAGCAAAGCAAGCATTAGTCAACAACGCTGAAACTTGGAACTCTCCCTGTAAATACCAATTTTTCTCCAGTTGTCCATAATTGTTTTTAATATTTCATACATATAAAGCTTCTCAAATCGACCTTCCTCTTTCTCAAACTTCCTTTTGTTCCACAGTCCACACGATGCCACAGGGCAATTTAGATACCCTTGTCTACGCCTGTGCCGGTGGCTCTCACGACAACAAAATCGTCTGCGAGAGTTTAGCAGCCACCGAAAGTGTCACAGACGGCAACGACGACCACCTTCTCTCCGTCGAGAAACCCGTAGAAGAAGAAATCGCTCCAGAATCGTTTTGGTTATCCAAAGACGCCGAGTTCGACTGGTTCGATCGCAACGCCTTTTACGAACGGAAAGAGTCGCATAAAGGTAACTCGGCCCCCAACTCAACAAACCTTAACCCGAGTCTGAACTCGAACACAAATTCCCAACGCTTTTCTTTGAGGAAGTCCAAAGCCTCCATCATCGGGTTACCGAAACCGCAGAAACCTTGCTATGTTGAACCGAAGAACAGGAAGATTACTAAGCCTGGGAACACCCGATTATTTCCCAAACGATCAGGCTCTGTTAAATCGGACCGACCGCTTGTTGAACCGTCTTCTCCTAAGGTTTCATGTATTGGGAGAGTGAGATCCAAGCGTGACCGGAAAAAGAGGGAACAGAAACCGACCGGAGTTGAAACAGTTAATGAGAAAACGACAGGGAAAAGAACCAGCTTATTTTCAAGCTTTCGTTCAATTTTCCGGCACAAATCCAATGGGAAAGCAAGTGAAGCACACGCGCCGGCAGTAGGGAACAGGGACATCAGGTCACGTTTGCCGCCTGATGACAATGAGGCAATATCGATAGAGCCTGAAACTATGGAGATCAACGTAGTTGCTGAGCCGCACCTTGAACCGGTGAGTTTAGGTGGAATGAAACGGTTCGCGTCGGGTAGGAGATCGGAGCCGTTAATTTAAGCGCCTCAAGAAATTGTTTTCCGCGGGTTTGATTGATGGACTGATTTGTCAAGGTACAAGAAAAAAAGGGCTCATTTTCAAATTTTACCCATTTGGTATTTACTTTGACTAGTTTTTTTTATTGGTTTAAAATGATTACAAGATAATATCTCTTGGAAGGGCTCTCAATCATTTAACATTTAACACTCTAACCCCTATTTATATTCGAACTCAGGACATATAAAGATAAAGTTTATCTTTTTTAATCACTAAAATTGTTTAATTCGTGCTATCTTATTGATGTTAAAATATACAAATACGAGTGATTAAGTAAATTTTTGATGTTTTTCTTAATAGAATTTCAATTCATTTATCTTGGATAAGATTATTTAAGAAGTTTGAGTTGATTACACTTCTTAATTGAAGTCTGTAACTAGTAAATAAAACTTGGATTAAAACAGAACCTTTTTTTTTTTTGGTGATGAATCACTTTTGTTTAGCGAATGCAAAATAACAGCTATAAAGGTTACAAAAAGCTTTGGTGAGTTCTAATTCAAGGAATTGATTGGATTGTTTAAAGATATAGTTTCTTAATTGAAGTCTGTAACTAGTAAATAAAACTTGGATTAAAACAGAACCTTTTTTTTTTTTTGGTGATGAATCACTTTTGTTTAGCGAATGCAAAATAACAGCTATAAAGGTTACAAAAAGCTTTGGTGAGTTCTAATTCAAGGAATTGATTGGATTGTTTAAAGATATAGTTTCTGAAATTAAGTGATCACAAATTCTGAATAGCTTTTTCATATAAATATATTTTACTATTGGAATATTGGAAATAGTACTTAAAATATTCTAGAAAAAATAATACTTTTTTAACAATTAAATTGAAGCATTAGGATTCGAAATCTTTTTTATTAAGGCAATTACAAAGTAGTATATGTTCTAAATATTCTCAATCATTTGACAATGAATGTTTAATCACCCTTCTACAGTCGTTAGTGATCGAATCTATGACATCTAAGAACAACAACATTCATTTAACCATCGAGATAAATTGGTTCATACAATAATTTTTAGAACATATGATTAATTTTACTGACATGAATATTTTGGCTTATATGTCACATCAAGAAATAATTATAAAAACTTTTTTAAAAGTCTAAAAAATTTCAAATAAACTCTTTTAATCTAAAAGTTTGTTCAAATAAACCCTTAATTTCTAGAAATTCATAAAGTAATTTATATTTTTCACCAAAAAAACTATATTTTTACAATATTTATATAAAATTATTTAATAGTAATATTTTATATTACTATTAAATTCTAGGATATTTTTAAAATCATTCATGAATTGAACACACAATTAAAGAATATATATATATATATATATCATTAATAAATATTTTATTTTTTTATAAAATATTTTTCATTCATATTCTTACAATTGTGGATTTGACAAAGTTATGATATTATATTAGAAGTTTAAAAAAAATAAGTGTGAAAAACAAAAGCATTGAATTTGGAAAGATGGAATTTCCATGTCAATATAAATAATCCTTAATTTTGAAGTGTTTACATTAAAGAGTCTTTAAAAATGAAATTCAACTGTAATATAAATATATTAATTAGTATTGGTTGATGTTGGGAGATTGTTGAATGCGAATGGTATTAAGTAAAGGGTTGAGAATTTTGGAATATTGACTGTTTTAGTGTCTTTCACTCTTTTTATTCATTTATTTATTAGCCTTGAGAATGACATTTCATGATAAATTATAGCAGCCCAAAGAGGACATTTCTGTCTTTTCCTTTTGCCTCAAATTTTAGTCTATTTTCACGGCATGAAAGTGTTTTCATTAACCACTAAACTTAAAATCAAATTAAATTTATCTAATAATGTTAATAATTAAAAGAAAATTATGCTATCTTATGATATCTTGAATTCGAGTAAGTATACTAATAAAATCTATATATTACTAATAATTAAAAAAAGATTATGAATAAATATTATTTAATAATTACTCAATTATTAAAAAATCTTAAATAAATTAAATCTAGTCTTGAGATTTGTATATTGCTTTCCGAATCTTCATGTTTTATTCTCTATAAAATGGTTTACAATTTTGATCCACCACTATATCTTAAAATAAATTTAATCAATTAACAGTGCATAGTTAAATAAATATGTTATACACATCTTCTTCACCAAAAGGGCTCCTGAAGTCAACCACCAATTAATATTGGAAGCTTGCCAAAAAGTCCTCCACGCCAATTTGTACCAAATTGCATGTTACACGTGTGACCATCATACTTCGACAAATCAATTAATCACCTCTTATAATTAGCTTTAACGTTAAATAAATTATTGTTATTATTTGTTCGAAATAAGTCGATTGTGAAATAAAATATTAGCAATGGATTAAAAAGGATAAACCGTATAAAATAAAATATATTTATTATGTCATGATAAAAATTATTGTCTTAGAAATGATTTTATGTTATTAATATAATCATAAAATAGACGATGTCTTTCAAGGGATTTTGCATCGATATTGGTGAACAGGAAAAATGTCGACACGTGGTTGGCCTTTGCTCGATTGGAAAATTATATGCCAACCTATATGTGTCGGGGGTCTTGAATTCTGTGATCTCTGTTCATTTAATATTGCTATGTTGGGTAAGCAGGTACGGAGGTTGATCGAAGAACCCCACTCTTATTTGCCCGTGCTTTAAGTGCTTAGTACTACCTGGATGGTTATATAAATGACTGTATTTTGTTTCCATATGTAATGGAGTAAGGGGAGGTAAGATAGTAGGTTGTCCTCAATACTAAGTTAAGAGCAACTTCTGTAGTAAATCTCCAAATTATGAAATGTCCTCTATGGGACTCGATCCCACGACCTCAAAGTTAAGAACCTTGTGCTCTATCAACTGAGCTGGATGATTATTTCGCCTGGATGGTTATATCTTGAATGCAAAAGTTGGAAATAAAAGTTCGTATGCATGGAAAGGTCTGCATAAGGTGATACAGGCACTGGCATCGGCCTTGTTTTGGAGGGTGGGTGTAACAACCCTACATGGCTGTTCAAGGATAAGTAAGCCGGCATTAAGTTACATGCATTTGCATAAACATATACAAATTCTGATCTCCTTGACTCTACATGTGGTGATTTCATGATTCGAGATAAGGCTCAGTGGGATATAGAGAAGGTCAGGGCAACATTTACGACTCACGACGCTGAGGTAAGACTACAAATCAATATTGCACTGTGTTTTACAGATAAGATAATATGGAGTAACCATGACTCGGGTGTCTACTCTGTGCGATTGGCTTATTGGTGGCTCCAACGATCCACACACACATTTGAGGGGTATCCAAACTTTTGGAAGTTTATGGAAAAACTGAAGAACTGAAGATACTCCCGAAAGCAAGAATTTTCTCTTGGCGTTTGGCACATGAGGCTTTACCTACGGGCTTTAGAGTTTGGGATGTGACAAGCATCACAATCGTCAAATAAATAAGCCTTTTTTCTCAGATAAGCAAGCTATAAACGTAGAATAGGTAAGAAGGGGTCGGTCCACGTGGATTCAGAAATTTCTAATCTAGATTTGATTTGATGCTAACCAAGAAACCTGAAAAACAAAAGAATTAAAAAGAGTGGGATTTTGAATAATCAAGTAACTAAATAAATAAAACAAAACTAAAGTGAATACACTAAAATACGAAAAGTAAATTGTAGAGAATTAATTAAGATGAAAGATAGCCTCCAACTTCGTTTTGCCTCAATTCGTCACGATCAATAAAATATATTTTAGTTTGGATACCTGCCGGTTATAGTTTACGAAGCCAAACCCTTGTGTCTTGCTTTTCTCTCTGGTGAACTAATTTCCAAAGCCAATCCTTGAAATTTAGCCTCTGTTTGGATTAATATTGACTATCGATATTAACGCCAATATATTGGTTTAAGAACTGGAAAAGCCCACGCTCGGATTATGGTATCTCGATGAGAATCGAACCAGATCTTGATTTTCCCTAGCAGACCACCGCTAAATTTGTTCTTAGGGAATTGAATTTGTTACAAGCCAACTCTCCTCCCTAACTGTAGATCACAACGTCAATCAAACCAATGTCCACTCCTTGGATTGAAGATATTGAGATCTTGAAGAAAGGTCAAATGCCTCTCATTGTCTGTCGAAAATCAAGAAAGAATATGAAGATGTGAAGCACTTTTACAATTCTCACAAGATCAGATCGAGTCATAGTTCAGCCATGAGCTAAGAAATAGTTTAGCCAAGTATGATAGAGTTCATACTTGGTGTGTAGAAGAAACAAAAGATGAAGAAGAAAATAGTTTTATTGAAAGAAACCAAATAGAAAGAAAAAGCCAAAATCAGTTCTATATTGAATTCTAAACATGTTCTCTCAAGCTTCATCCCTATAGGGTATTTATAGCTTTGAGATGATCCTAATGAGAATAAAATACAAACTCTTAAGAAAATTAAAACACTTAGTTCTTATTAATAGTAAACTAAAAATCCTAATAATAAATAATTAAAATCCTAATTGAAATTCTAAACAAACTAGAATCCTAATTAAATAAATAATAAAATCTCAAATGTTTGAATTTATTTACAATTTTTTAATTCCTAAAGAATAGGAAAATCTATTTAATTTTCTCTTTAATTGTTGTTTCTTGGAAAATAGAGTCTTGTACAGATTCGAACAAAAATAACCCAAATTAGCATTACAAAAGAAGGCCAAATAAAACACTATCAAATTCCCCCTCACTTATTCAATGTTTGTCCTCAAACATGCCTGAATCAATTATTAAAATCTTAAATCAACAATCTTTCATCTCAAGATATATCAAAGAAAACCAAACAAGTCAATTATAACATCAATTATCAAAAACAAGGTGACAATCAAACAAATAGGCACAACTGGTAACTAGTTTAAGTAAAAGCCAAGATATACCAAATATCCATTAACTTCAATGTAAAAAGACTCAATACCTCACAAGAATTCACTCAATATTGCTCAAAGTGTTTAAGGTAAAAGAAATAGTTTAAAGCC